ATAAGTTTCGATATCAAACGGATGCTTTACTTTTGCAAGTTTTTGGCCGACAACGAAGGTTGAGGTTGTAGAAATGCTTGTTGGCTTGATTTCTGCCTTTCGGTCTGCAGGAATATCCTTTTTTAAACAGATCTGGAATATTTTTTTAATGTCAGGGCTGGAATGACTGTAAATTGGAAGCCTTTTATCACCCCTGTAATGGACAAGATTAGGCAAATCAATGTCAAATGAGTAAGACGTATTATCATTTTCACTGTTCTCATGAGTTGACTGATTCGGGATCACTGGAAAATGTGATAATTTTCTTCGCTGTTTCCTCTTTTTATTGTTGGAAAAAAGATTTCATCGTCCTCCGTGAGATCCACAGTTTAGTTCTCTCGCGCTTTTTTCTTCTTTTCGTCGTTTCCCGATAAATTAGTTTTTCTTTTGGACATCTAGAAAAGCGGGTCATTTTTGTTATGTAAGTGCTCCTGTTTCTGCTTTTTTCTAGTCAGATGCCTTAAAACAGTTACGCATGCAGTTAAATATTAGTTTTGGATTGTCATCTTGATTACTGATGATTGACATTCTTGCATGACCCTTACCATGACCAAATTAGTTAGTAGATAATAATACCTTGTCACTTGAAGTACACTAGCTCACCGGCTGATAATATTTTCATATTGTGTTCAACTCCATTCAATAATTGTTACGTATTATGCTAGCCTCATCGAGTAATTGTATAAAGTATTATAGGAAAAATTAAACCTTGAAATAACCTATTGGAATAAACTGTCCAAAATTAAAGGCGTGTGCATGTGAATCTAGAATTCTCCATTACAATTTACATAAACAACGTGTCATATATTAAGGTAATGTTTCGCGAATATTTCACTCAATTTAAAATAAAACATTTGCTAAAAAAGGATTTGGTGAGATCCTGAGGGGAATTCCCCTGTCTCCCGGTTCTCCCATTCCACTGTTCCCTGTTCCCCGGAAAAAGTCTTGTGCAGCCCTACTTCGATTACTGCTCGCCCCTGTGGGATACTTGTGGCAATCTGCTCAGAGATTTCAATTTAGTTGCAAAGAGTTCAGTTTCGTGCAGCGAGGGTTTTAACAGTGCAAATTATGAACCTCTTGAAACTAGACGGTCTGGTGCTAAGTCAGTATTAATGTACAAGATACTTAATAACCATACTGCGCCCGCTCTTCGGGAGTCTTTCGTGAGAAGAGAAATAGGATCCCAAGGCCGAATCGAGAATACCTTAAAAAAGTTTCAAATATAGCCGCGCTATGCTTTGGAATCGGCTCACAAACGAAGCAAAATCAGCTGAGTCGCTCGTTAGTTTAAATCAATTGTTGTTGCACACTGAAATGCGTCCTAGTTACCTGTGTGTGAAACCTATACTGTATTCTTATTACTGTCTTAATAATTAAACACGCCCCTCGTGGAAACCAGCCTAGAGTTGATGGGGCTGGCATGTTTCTTGCGATTTCCACGTTTTCATGCGATTTCCACTTCTGTTCGTGAGCTTTCGTTCGTGTTCATAATTTTTTGATTCCTGTTCACTCGTGTTCGTGATCTTTGGTTCGTGTTCATGATTTTTTGACTCGTGTTCATTCGTGTTCATAATTTTTTTTGTGTTCACTCGTGTTCGTGATCTTTGGTTCGTGTTCATGATTTTTTGACCCGTGTTCACTCGTGTTCATTCGTGTTGATGATTTTTTAACTGGTGTTCACAAGCGTTCATATTTCTTGAGTCGTATTCTGACTCGTGTCCACTGGTGTTCATTCGTGTTCACTCGCGTTCTGACTCGTGTGTTGTTTTTGAACAGATCATGGCAAGAATCGAACCTACGCTTTTGCGATGCCGGTGAAATGCCCTTGCCATTGAGAACGTATATTTGACTCATTTTTCCATCCACTGTTCCTGGCTTGAATTTGAAGTGTGTATAATACCACTCGAAATTAAGACCTTTTAACCTATTTGATTCTTGATAATACAATCGCGTTCTTCCAACAGCTCCGTTTTAACCGTGTACTTAAGGGTAGACGGCTTGGTAAAGGAGACAATAAAACCTGACACGAGTGGGTCATTTTGGTATGACCAAAGCTGGTTCAGGATACTTAGAACATATCATCGTCGTCGTCATCATCATCTCTGCCTTTGTTTTCCTTCACATGTTCACATCGTTTAAAAACTTCTTAATAAGAAACTTTCGCTTATCAACGGCACCTTCTATTGCTTCTTCTTGGTCAAAATCATCATTTGTAATAAACATATTTTCTTATGTACCGGATCTTTCTTCAGTTGTCTCATCCACAAATGGCGCTTTAAATAGATATTTTCTAATTCTTCCTGGAGTCTAGCATGGCATTGAAGTAAGCTTTCTTTTTAGCATAGTGCTCATCAAAACCACTGTTTATAAGGCTTTCTTTCATTTCCTCGAATACTGTGTTACTTCTATGTTATGCTTCTTCTATTAACGGCATCCAGGGATCCAATTCTTCTTCACATTCTGAGTCCGTTGTCGTCGAACTTCCAGATTGCTGAGTGGAAGTGGTCGAGACATCATCTTGGAAATCACTTTCTTGACTGTCCGAGTCTGTTTGAGACATGTTTCTTTCTTGTTCTCGTAGTAGGCAATACTCCCGTTCGGGTCTGCGCTGATTGTAACTGCGGCTGAAATATCTTCTGCAAAATTGGCAGCTCATCCCCTTAGCACTAGAAGTGTGTAAATGCCTTGTTATCGAGCAGCAACGCAGTTTTATGAGCAGATGTCTGCTCATGTGTAGTTATGAGGATGTGCTAATCTGCTCAACGGTACTTTTTCCTAGTCCAGTACATTCACACAAACTAAAATGTTAGCAATCCCTTATGTACTTTCTTCGTTTCCCCCTAGATAGAGGTTGTTCGTTTGCAGTGCTTAGGTAAACATTAAAGTTTCTCTCCATCTCTTCTTGATAATAAATTTCTCTCCATCGCGCTCTAATAAATTTTCCAGACACTCCTCCATATCGAATTCCTTTGGTTCTTTACTCTGTCGAGGTACACATATTCCTTTCTTACTCCACTTTAACCATCTCTTGCGTTCCTCTGTGCCCATATCGTGTACTTGGTCGAGATGATTTGCTAACCTTGCTAAATTTGTACTACCACAGCTAAACACAGGACAGCTCCTACGAGTGCGACGCATATTTAGATGATTGCTCAACAAATTCCTAATAATAATTGGCTCATTTTTTTCGTAAGTCAGGTATTTTATTAGGCCCGTTTGGGCCCTATATGGCCTTATATGGCACTATTAGGCCCGATGGCCCGATTGCTGCATGACTAGGCGTCCTAACCCGGACAAGTCCGGGCTTTTCAATGCAAACTCTTGCTTACGGAAGAAAAAGTCAAACGATCTAAACAAGAAAACAATGTAGTGCCCGGACAATATGTTTAAAATATTTGTAAAATTGTTCTACTTAATTACATTGTTACAAGCGTTAATACGTGTCTTAATTTATGCTTCAAGCATCGCGTTGTCCATAACACCAATATATATTTCGATTCGCTCTAAAAATGCACACATTTTCGCATTCGCTATACCCCCCTTTTTCCTCCCTTTGAGGAGTTTGGGCCTGAAATATCTCATTAAGCGGATGAGCATCTGCTCATGAGCATTTATGAGCATGTGCTCATACACTGTTAATTCAAAAGAGTCATTTTGACTCCTTCAAAGGAGTCGTTTTCTTGACCCCAGGACGACTCCTTGAAGAGAGTCATTTTGACTCATTTTGGGTTGACACCTGTAAAGAGTCATTTTAACCCTTTAACTAGAGTCATTTTGACTACCCATGGAGTCGTTTCAAAATGACTCTTGCAAGAGTTAAAATGCGAATTAACTCCTCAAAAGTGTCGTTTTAAAAGAGTCATTTTGATTTTTGACTCTCTTTTGGCATCAATTTTACTCTTATTTGGAGTCATTTCGACTCCTTTTTGTCATCGATTTTACTCTTATTTGGGGTCATTACGACTATTCTGTGGCATCAATATTACTCTTATTTGGAGTCATTCGACTCTTCTTTAGCATCGATTTTACTCTTATTTGGGGTCATTACGACTATTCTGTGGCATCAATATTACTCTTATTTGGAGTCATTGGACTCTTCTTTAGCATCGATTTTACTCTTATTTGGGGTCATTATGACTATTCTGTGGCATCAATATTACACTTATTTGGAGTCATTCGACTCTTCTTTTAGCATCAATATTACTCTTATTTGGAGTCATTCGACTCTTCTTTAGCATCCATTTTACTCCCATTTGGAGTAATTTCGACTCTTCTTAAGCATCGATTTTACTCCTATTTGGAGTCTTTTGACTCTTCTTTAGCATCGATTTTACTCTCATTTGGAGTCATTTTGACTTCTTTTTGACATCGATTTTACTCTTATTTGAAGTCATTTCAACTCTTCCTTGGCATCAATTTACTCTTATTTGGGGTCATTTGAATTCTTTTTTAGCATCGTTTTTGCTCTTATTTGGAGTCATTTTGACTCCTTTTTGACATCGATTTTACTCTTATTCGGGGTCATTACGACTATTCTGCGGCATCAATTTCACTATAGTACTGTACACCAATATTAGTTTCATGAAGTTTGCATAAAATACAAAAGCAGAGTTTGAGTAAACGATGTTTAATAATGTATGTGCAGTGAGTATTACAGCATACACACAATACATTCCGCAAATCTGTTTCTTTTAAAAGAAAGTAATTATATAATAAATATCTATATATAAGCATGCAGGCTTTAAAATATCGGCCAACAGACCATCTGTCAAATGTCCGGTGTCTTTAAAAAATGAGTCGGATATACATTTTTAAAATTAAAATATGGTAAATGGCCATATGTTTAGTCAACCTCGTACCATCCTCGACCCTCAATTTTCCTATTGGTCGGACAGAACACACAGTGCTTTTCTCGCTATACGTCGCACAATTCACGAATGGGTCAAATCTCCGCGACCGGCCGATATTTTAAGGTCTGCAAATATAGGTATAATAAATATTTCAAAAATATATAAACATATTTAAACATATATAATACCGTATTAAAGTTCCAAATGATTACTCATTGTTTTGTTCGATGGCCATCATAGCATGCACTACCTCCGTCACTCGTACTGGCATTTTAGAAGGTTCAATGCTTAACATTGCATGCTCAAGGAAAATCATGACGTTTTTGACCATGGTGTAGTCAAAATCATACACATAATAACACGATATCAACGCAACTAAAGCATCCACAAGTTTGTCGTCTTTACTCAGGTCACACAGCAATTTATGTTCCCCTGCAATGTAGATTAGATCTAGATGATAAAGATCTAACCCACTCAATAAAACGATGGGCGAAATTGCGTTTTTAATCAAAGCATCCATGTTATCGTTGGTCTAAAAAAGAAAATGTCAAATTAGATAATAGATGTGTTTGAACGGTTTAGTAGAGGCATCTGTATGAAAGGGGGGTGGGTTTTTTAGGGGGTTTGATGGAACTTCTAAAGCTTGTTTTTTAATGCAATTACTTTACTACTGTACAAATGCCATTGGTCAATAAAAATCTTTTGGGATTGACAGTCAATACAACTTTTAGTACAGATTACCTTTAGTAGCATGAGGACCTTCTCTTCCCCGCTGTTCTTCCTTCCACCCCCACACCGTAGTAGGTAATTAGTAATGGCGAAAATTGCTGTTCTGTGGTTGCACTCTAAAAATTAAAAACACAGAAAGGCCCCAGAAATTAATGCTGAAGACAAGTAACTCAGTAGCATGTTAACTGTTATGCGCCTGCAACGCTTACTAAATTTACAATATATATATACTCCGGCAACTTTATAGCCAAGAAGACCATGAAGATGAAGTCTCTCTAAGAAAATATATTGCGTTTCATTTTAAAATGTACTGAATATCATAAATATGTAAAATTCAAAATTGTTGCACACACACTTTAACGAGGGGTGTATAAAAATATGGCTCCAACAGAGAGTATTTAGGGCAGGTCCTTAGTTGTAAGAAAAGGTTTGTGGCGGTTTCTAAATTCTTTTCGAAAGAATATGTCTTTAAGTCTTCGAAACGATTTTCGATTATTTTTTTGAGTTGATTACGATTCGAGGGAAAGGCTCATAGACACGTACTGTACAACTCTGACCAATAATTTTCTCTCCAGAGAGAAAACGGGAAAGAGGGATGCATCTTTCTCCCAATAGTCCGCGCATTTTCGGGATTTGGCATGGCATAATTACCGGATAAAGTCTTTGAAACGTCTGTGATTTTAAAAAGTATTCGAAAGTCTTTAAATCTATTTAGTCTTTGCATGAGACTATACGAAGTTTCCTTGTCAGAGATTTGACTTAATATATAAATTGCATTATACAAAACGCTTAATTTAATGGTCAAGTTATGTTACCGGTTGGACTGAGTTTATCTTCAGAAATCGCCGAGTCCATCTCTTCCACCAATTTCTTGAATGAGGACTTTTCACTCTTCTGTACATAGGATAATATTTTTGGAAGCCATGTATCAATTAAGCGTTCCTTCATTAATCTTGTGACATCTTTGTCCCCCATGACTCGGCACATTTCTTGCTTCAGCTTTAAATAATGAATACAAAATAGATTTTGTTAAATTTAACTTGAACTATGCATGCTTACTATATAGCCATGTTGTTGCTATGAAATAAATTGACACATGACATGAAAAGGTAAAGAGATTTTGTTTTAAAATAAGGTAACGTCATGGTCATATGGTAAATATTTAAAAAATAATTCAAAATTGCTTATTCGAAATATTTTCTGCATTTCAAACTAATTTAAAAAGACATTTCATCCAGTTATAAGCTCGCCCGATGATGAGTGAACATATATATTGCTCTAAAACTGTGAAGGATGCAAAAAAAGTAGATATAAAATGCATTAGCAATTTCCTAGAAGAAAATTTTGTTCAGATTATTATCTTACATGAATATGTTGCAGCAATGGAGGAAAGAGTTTCAACAAACTATCCACGCTCTCGGTCCCTTCAAGAATCATTTTTCGTCTGACAGGATATGTTGATGACATCAGTGACTTTACCAAGGTTTGATCTGGACGTGCAATTCGGCAGATTTTCTTTAGTTGCTGAGTCTTTTCCTTCATGGTATCTTCAGTTTCCCCTTCGTCAAGTGGTGGGATTTTGAGCCAAGGTTTAATATTTAATTTTATTTTCTTGACTACCGGTGTGCCAATTGATTCACCTTCAGTATTTGGCTTACAGTCTTGTGTGTGCTTTAAAGGGTTTCTCTGGAGACGTTTCATTCTGTGCTTTATCTTTTGTTCCCATGATCCCTAACAAATGTACACAAAAAATTGAGTTGCTCTGCAAACTACTGTATGTGAATCCAATGAGGGATGCACTGGAACCGATATTTTAAGTTCCAGCCGGAACTGACTAGAACCGAAGAAAAGTTCGGGCAAAAGCGGAACTGAATTTGTTAAGTATTTATGGTCATGTTTACTTTGTCTACTTGCAAAACAGTTCTCAATGGAATCAAGACATCAGTGGATCAAGGCATTACAATTGTTGTAAAAAAATAAATATTTCAGTAAATTGCAAATTTTCATAGTAGTGATAGTAATTAACATCTTTTTTTGTCTTCTCACGCACACCAATGTGCATGCACCTATGTACTGTATGTCAAGAACACTAGGTGGTTGTTATAATTCAGATTAAGTATGGTGAGAATTATAATTGACTGAAAAACTCTGCAGTCTTTGTACAGAACAATCTTTGGGTGGTCATCGTTCCTGGAAACGTCAAATACTGTAGTGTCCTCTATTTTTAAATTCCCACCCAATATGATTGACATTTTTTAAGTACTGTGTGAACATGTTGTACAATACCGTATTTCGTACACTCAATCTTACCCACTCAGTTGATGTAGAACAAATTTTTGGATCTTTCAGAAATGGGTATTTGGCAACAATCTTTTGGGCAATTATTTGCCTTTCTGCTTCTGTTGGGTATCTAGTATGGGTTGAAATGAGAGTACAGATATCTCTGTTTAACTCATTGCGTTGATTTCCATTCAAATTCCTAGAAGCTAGTCCCATCTCAACATTAACCGAAAACTACAACAAAATAACAAAGCCGTGGTTATAAATTATTAATAGTTGAAATGTTGTTTTTTCCTGTTGAGATATGCACTAAAGAATATAACATTGCAATACAACAATACATTGTATTGTATAAAAACATCCTTTGTTAGTATACCAACCTTGTCGGGAATTTCAAAGAACTGTACCCATCCAAACTTAACATTTTTCTCACCAGACCTTCCTCGCCTTGTTGATGTTGCAGTAAATGAACATGGGGTCTAATACAATGCAATAACATATGCTAATGTTATGTATAAAATTAATACACACTACTGTACTGTTATGTTATTTTAGTGTAAAATAACTGGAAATTGATTGCAATTTAAAGAGTGATCTGCAATTTTCACAATATCTTCAATAACTAGGCCAAAACAATGTACATGCAGTCAATATTGCACAATCAATTATTCATTAATTTGACTAAGTATTTAAACTGTGAATTAATTACCCAATAAGCTCCCTGGAGAGCTTCCCGTTAACAAGTAAAATTAATCGCCTGACATTTGTAAAAAAAAACGCACTGGGGCGCATTGCTAGTTAATGGTTAATATCAATTCACTATAGTTCTGTAATTGGTTGTTCCAGAATCCCCAACCCCCACGGAGGAAATTTTCATCTGTCCAAAGGAGGAGGGAGAAGCAACTTTGAATTTCCTAAGATGTACTAAGGATGCTTAAAGAGGAGGGGAGGAGTAATTTTCCTTTTTCTCTGTGATGGAGGTGTTGACCTTTTCTGGAATGTTATAATAATAATTATCAGTACCTTAGGAATCTCATCTACTGTAAAATTTGATGGGGAACCTTCTGTAGGAACCTCTGGAGATATTGGTTCTATCATCCTATGACAACTGGGAGTTGTTCCAATTTTTGCCGAGGGTGGGTTTGCGATTCTGTGGGAAGGGGTCATAGTTTCTGCATCATCTGTATGACTATCTATGACAATTGCACAAGGTTGTTTACTTTGGACAGGCATACCATTTCCATCAAAAGTCTAGGAGTTAAATAATTTAGCTGTGTCAGGAAATATAGTAGGTTTCTTAGAAAATACTGTATATCATATGTTAGTATAATGCCAGAGCTTTCAAAGTAATCCAGCCCCACTGGCAGCGCTAGTGAACAACACCAATTCTTAGCGTACATTGCAATGACAAGTGCATGATGTCACTGCATATGTGGTATTTCGGACCTGAATCGAAGGAGCTATATTTCATCCAGAGTACAGGTTGATGGGTGTCTGGGCAATGGTCACATGATCCATCCGTTCTTGATCATATTTTGCACTTATTTTTTCTTTATCATTTTTGTTGCACCCTTTTTTGTAATTATTAATGGTGCAGTCCATCAATAATATCATTTTTTACAAATCTGAATTTGTTTGGAAATCATTTTGAGAGTAATTCAGTAATCGCATCTTGTTTTTTGTTGCCATAGCATGATAGCAACGTCGAGTTTTGTAGCTCAAATTATGAGCTGTTTTACGACAAAAAATATTACTTTTATAATGAATAATATAAAAAATTAATCCAGAAAGTCAATTTAAACTTTTTGATCCTTCGAGAGGCTAATTATTTGGAAAAACAGACAAAAAGAGAGCATTTGTTAACTCAATATAAATATACTGGCAGACCTGGCTTGTTTCTTTTGACCACAAAGTCCGGAATCTCTTTACTTCTTTTATGCCTTTGATCATACGCTCAATCATCCACATCTCCAACTCAAAAAAATCCTTTCCATTTATAGATTCACCTATTTAAATATTTAACAAAGAAAATACAATAAGATTTTGAAAAACAGTCTATTCAAAGCATTTTAAAACTTACCCTCGAAACCTTTTACAACAGTCTCGTCGAAGTTGTTTTTACGTAACCAGTGGATTACTTCATGAGGAAAAGAGTCTTTTGAGAGTTTCTCATTCATTTTGTCAGTAATAAATGAATAGATAAATATTAAATGAGATTATATTTTATTTAAAGAAAAGCGTGACACAAACCCAGCCGCCCAGACAGCTAAACGACGAGAGAAGTCACGTCAGCTGTCAGCACGACCCAGTGAGCTCCAGATATATCTGGAGTAAGAACTTAAGACTTCCGCGAGGCCAAAAAGTGAAGCCAAAGATGGCGGATATTGAGGAGCTATAGTACGTCAGTTTCAGTCCTCTTATGTGCGCGGTTTAACTTTATTTTTTCCTATTTTTGAGTAAAAAATGAGGGGAATTTCAATGAAAGGTATAATATTAATGCTTTGTATTGAGATACTTTTATATTTCAATTAAATTAACAAAGAAATAAGCGATATCTTACAAGGAAAGCTAAGGAGTGGCGGATTGTTGACGTTTTCGGCTTTTCGCAAATCACAACATTTACTCACAGAATATGCTTCCCAAAAAACATAAATAAAACTTTTTTTAGTTTAATTCATCTATATAAGGCTTTCATTCATGTAAAAAATTAATAGGAAAGAAAATTATGCTGAAAAACGGACGAGTTTGAAATATGACTAATATATGATTATGAAATTTATAAACAAGACTCAAAATGCAAGTATAAAAAAAACTTTAAAAAAGCCCTATGCTAGGAAAGCTGGCCAAAAAATAAAGGACAACTAGTTTTAAAGCGTTTCGAAACCAAAAATGAAACAAGAAACTCAAAACATGAAAATATATGAAAATAACTCAAAATTATTAAAACAAATCTGAAATGCGCAGTTGAATTTACGGCGGAAAAATGCATATTTACTCACTCGTTCAGTCGGAAAATGCGGCACCCACATCGGGTAGATGCAGAGAAATAGATTCTCAGTAAAATGAATCAATTTTTTCCATTCTTGTGCTCTCAAAATGATGAAAAACACGAAAATCTGAGGGTTTCGATAACCGTCACTCCCGGTCAAAAACAATGAGAAATATTTGGCCGCGGGAGTTAGGGGACTGAAACTGACGTACTATAGCGCTTCAATTTCCGCCATCTTTGGGTTCACTTTTTGCACCCAAAGTTCTTACTCCAGATATATGTGGAGCTCACTGGCACGACCGCGCTCCACATCCGGGAGTCTTGTAAATAGTTCCAAAAAAGGCAATGTTCTCCTTTTATATCTAAATTTAAAATTTATGCCACCCGAATCTTGCGGGTAATTTCACATTTTCCCGCCCAAAACTGTCTAATATTATAATTCCAGATTTCCAGTTTAATATCACTGACTGCAGAGAGCGATGGCTGGACGTAAAATTTAAAAAAGGAAATGTAATTCATAATTGTATTGAAAAATGGCTATGCTCTATAGCTGTGAAATGTGTTCAGGCAATCGCGTGCCATTTGTTGCGCTTAATATGGCATTGATTATTAACCATTATGGGCGGTATCATCGTCACGATCCTGATTTTTTCGTCACATGCAAGGTTGGAGGTTGTACTGCATCATATAAAAAATTTGAAGGCTACAAAAGTCATCTGCGCCGTTTTCACAAAGACATCGACCAGATCCCTATTAACAAAGAAGGAGATGTAGATGATGTGGTGAATGGTGAAGAAGACATTCAAGACGATCAATGCCGTATGATGATTGATGATCATGAGGAGACCATTGGCTATCATCATGTCGACTTGAAAAGGCAGAACGCATTGTTTCTACTGAAGACTAAGGAAATGTATCGGTTAACACAAACGGCGACTGATGCACTTGTCTCTTGCACAACGTCCATTGTTAAGAACTCTATTGAACAGTTGAAAAAGGGTTACAAAATGCTTAGACAACGTTGGAATGCTACTCGGTGACATTCCTGGACTGGAAAATATGTTCAGACAAGATAGTAATGAGAGCAACCCTTTCAATGGCCTTCAAACCAAGACAGAACAGAAGTGTTATTTTCGAGATAATTTTGGGCTTGTGGTAAGTCCATTGATATAAATTTGTAGCTAGCTCTTGTATCACACACTCCTTTTATGAATACCCATTTTTAATGCACCCATCAATGTTAAGCCCGGGGGCCGGGGGAGATCAGGCGTACATATTTGGGGTATTTGATTTTTTGGGCAAATATTTTATTAATTCCCCTGCTATCGGGCAAAAAATATTGGTCAAATGCCTTGCCAATTTGCAATAAATTTTAATAATAACAGTAATTTGGTTCATGTTGCCCATACTCAGTCCCAAAATGCTAATCAAAATCCCCAGGGCAAGGATGCAATTGATTATCAAATACCCCACATATTCCTAGTACATTAAATCATGAAATGCTCAATGATCCTATTTTTAAATTTTTGGAATTCATGCCCCCCCCCCTTCTCCACAGGTGTTTAAACCCTAATCCTAGGCAGAATTCCACTCTTTGAATATGGGCAGAGCTGCTCATACTTATATCTGGATATACAGACCCATACACCTAGTTTATATATACAGCTATATTTCTGCCCCAAAAATACCTTAACCCACTAATGCCCATTGCATTCTTCAATATTTTGCTCTCTCTATAATTGCCAGGTAACTATATTGTCTCGCATATATGTATGGAGTAAAATTCTCTGGATTTTAAACAGTTAGAGTAGTACAATATATACTGTATGTTACTACTGTACTCTTAGTGTTTATTCCAGAGAATTTTACTATATAGTATAACATATAAATGCAAGACAATATAGTTTGTGTACCAAGTTTATACAGCTAGCACAATACCATTATATCAGTGTTTTCATATTGGAACCTATAGGACCCTGAAAGATATATTCTGGGACATAATCATGTTCAAGTTAGATCTGGTGTCCATAGAAAAAGAAGTGCAAAGTTTGATGAAATGGTGATCATTCCTTTGCTAAAAAGCCTTGAGGCAATGCTGAATGAACCCTCTATTCTTTATGAGGTAAATATTATAGTATATTTTGGACGGTAATGTCACATAATTGTCCACAATTATCCGTAGATCTTTATTATCCATAAACTCTTTTATTTAACATAAACTAGAAATACATACCTGCAGCAACCCCTTGCTTTTTAACCAAGAACGCAACTTCATTTTCGGGACATGAAGTATTGGTAGACTGTTGTCATAGCAGCATAGCATTTTTATTCTTTCTGTATCTTTCAAAAAAGTGTGAAAATTCTAATGAAAAAATATCAGTTTTAATCACAAACATTTGTCATTAATTTGCTTTTAGATAAAGCATTCACATAAAAGCAGACAACCTGGTCGAATTTGTGACTTCTGCGATGGTGAGTTATTCCAAAGGCATCCACTGTTTTCAAAAGACAAGAGTGCGCTGCAAATCATTCTCTATTATGACGAAGTGGAATGTGTCAACCCTCTTGGGAGCAAGACCAAGAAGCACAAATTAGGTATGTACAAGTACGTACATTGACAATTAAGTAAAATTATCTGGGATGCATTGTGGCTTGATGTGTAATATGTTGTGTTCCGGCATTTGTTGAGAGGAACAGTTCAAATATGTGATGCAATTGAGCTATGTTGTCAATGTTGTGCTAGGGTGTTGTCAAGCTGTCGCCAATGCGTTTACAAGCTGCTCTGTGATCATTAATTGTGATTGGCCAATCCAATTTATATTCAAATTGTTGCTTCAATGCGTCACTACTTGACTGCCTTTTGCAGTATACATATTTGCCTTATATGTATGCAATAAACATACGCAAGCATAAGAAATAATTATGAACTACTGTAAGATATGCATGCATGCCGTTGTTGTCATCAGAAAAATAGGAGTTTCAAAGGCTGCATCATGCTAATATTGTTCCCATTTTCACCATAAAGTATGTGTGACTGATGTTTATATTGGATCAATCACCCATTGTTTTATAATAAACTTTACTCTTTATTTTCTAGGACTGTTTTACTATACATTGGGTAACATTAGTCCTGTACATCGTTCCCAACTAAAGTCCATTCAGTTGTTAGCTATTGTGAAAAGGCCACTGATAATTAAATATGGTATGAATGCTATTTTGGCACCCATTATGGAGCAGGTCTTGGAGCTCGAGCAAGATGGTGGTTACCAGTTCACTATAAAGGGTGTGAAAGAATCATTTGCTGGGACAATAGCATTTGTCTCTGGTGAAATTTAGGATCACAAGAACTGGGAGGCTTCAAAGTTGGACCTGGCTCCCATCTTAAATGTAGAGACTGTTTAGGTAAAACTGAAGATATTAAAACAAAGGTAGTGTATATGTATAATTAATTATCTACGTTGTATATAACCTGAATGTCAGGCCTTTATTTTTTCGCCTTAACGCTAAAAGGTGAAAAGCGTTAAGCGAAAAAAAAAAAAGGCCTGACATTCACGTTACATTGTATCCCATATGGTTACTTAAGAGTACTCAACATTGTAGAGATTAGAGCAAAAGACGTTACTGACATATGCTGTAGTTACTGACACTGCATGTACCTCAGATACTCACTTTTTGCACTTTTCTGGTACATTTGTAAATTCATGAATGATATATCCTTTGAAATTCAGAAACGTTGCCCTCACCGTCCTATGTGTGCTTTTCCATTTGGACTATTGCTGGGTTACCAGTGTACTTTACTTTATTCTAAATCTTTACTAACATATGCAATAAATGTCCTTTTTTCAGTTTCGAGAAGACCAGTTTGTTCTACGTACTGCAGATGAGCATGATGATCAGTGTGACGAGATTGATGAAGATCCTACTTTGGCTTCAACTTATGGCATAAATTTCCGCTCAGCTTTGTGCCAGTCCAGGTACTTCCATGTCATTGGTGGATTACCAGGTGACTCAATGCATGACATATTGGAAGGTTGCCTTCAGTATGAGGCTAAAGAGCTTTTGAAGTACCTAATTCAGGAGCGGAAATATTTCAATCTTCAATACCTGAATTCCAGTCTGGAGAGTTTCGATTTCGGATACCAAAATGAGAAGAATAAACCATCGGTGATTTCAGATGCAACCCTGAATTCAGATAGCAACAATCTTCATCAAAAAGGTATGTACCATAATTAAATTAATAAAGATCACATGCCTGGATTTGAAGATGATATGATTTGATTTTTTATTGATATTTGGTCTCCTTCGTCGAACGCAATAAAGCACATTTGGTACTATGTATGGTTATGTTTCCCTGACACAGCCTGACAACAACCTCAGCTGCATCCCTATATATAGTGATACATCAATCTCAAGAACACCATATGGCGTATTTTCTAGAATATGGCAAATTGTCAGATTCATGTAACTGAAACATACAACATTGATTAGTTTGTTGTGAAATGAACTTTTAATTTGCAAACTATACAGTAGTATTTCATAAGAATAACATATAAAATAACTTTTTTCCTGTAGCATCTCAGATGTGGTGCCTGGGTAGATTTTTACCGATGATTGTTGGAGCTAAAGTTCCAGAGATGATGAGAAATGGCAGCTATATCTAAAGATGTTGGATATAACTGATATGTGTTCTCTCCTGTAACAAGTGCAAATCAAGCTGCTTATCTAGCCCAACTAATAGAAGAACACCACAAAGAATTTACAGTGTTGTACCCGAACTGCTCTATCATACCCAAATGCACTATATTGTCCACTACCCAAGTGCTATGATCAGGTAAAACTAAACTTGTATATATTTGTTGAGTTCCTGGCTGATGTACAGTGTTGTGTTTCATTTAGTGCTAGTGAGTCATTGCGCTTTTTTTTGAATAGAAAATTATATCACAGCTCCAATAAACCTCATAGAAACAAATAAATAATTGAAGTGAGAATCGGGTTCGTTTTTACTATATACCCAAGTAGTATTAACTGCTGAACACACTGTAGAAGTTGTCACAAGGCTAATTGACAGCTCCGAAAACAACATTGTTCATTTAACAGTAATGTCTGTACTGAGATAGCTCAGCTTCCGCAGTGGGGGCAATGATGTTTCCCACAGATATATTACCTTTCCCCCCCGCACAATATTCACTTACAGATTGAAAACTCTCAAACAAATTGAAAAATATTAAATAATGAAACTCAAAAACGTTGTCGTTGTTCACTGTTTATTATCTCAAATGTTTCTCTCTCAAATTCCCTGAACTAGATGAACAGTAACCTTAGCTATTGTTATGTAAAAATGTCATGTATGGTTTTAAAATTTGCAGTATATATTATATACTTCAACTAATTAATAATTTGTATATATATACTTTAGGTTAGGACCAATGATAACACACTGGTGCATGAGATTTGAGGCCAAGCATCGTTATTTCAAACAACTAGCTACTGCCATTGGTAATTACACCAATCTACCATGGACATTAGCTGAACGACACCAGAGTCAGCAGTGTTATATCTCTGCGGCATACACAAACCTATTGAGTGTGGAGCAGGTGTGTTAAAATTATATGTTAAAATTGTTAAGCATAAGTATGATTTTATTTTAATATATCTAGTCCACTGATTTAATAATACACTGGATAGAGCTTCCATATCCATGAAAAGTGAAGCTGGATGCTATTCGGTTTTAACCCCAAAAGGAGGAAGTAAAACTTCAAAAATGAATATGGTAAACATTTTGGGGGATTTTAAAATAAATAACAGATAAGAAAGATTGTTTACCATATTCGTACTTCAAAGTTTACTTCCAGCTTTCGGGGACCAAATTGAGTAACATCCAGCTTCACTTTTTATAGACAAAGAAGCTCTAGCCAGTGTTTTATTACATGCATCAGTGATCCAATTACATGTATGACAATATCCTTAAAAACGATGAAAAAAGTTTTATTTTCTACACTTAATTACCCAATTACTTTACACAATATATCCACTATAACTTCAACACTGTAATGGGATTATTAGTTTTGGCAAATTCCAATTTTTTCTTCAACCTGAAAACTCTTTTTCCTATTTTTACTGACTTAATTTCAAAATAGATTTAATTTGAAGAAAAAATACCAAGTTCCTCTTAGATGTAGTGTTTATCGTGGTTCGGACCATGGTGTCTACTATACTGAAGTGGTATCTACTACTACTATACTGCATAGTATTTCAGTGTGGAAGATGCTTTTGTATTTTGACTGTAGAAAATGGAAAAAACGATTTCACGAAATGAAATTCTTTTCTGACCTGTACTGACCTGCGTTTTTTTAAGCTTGTTACTGGGAACACACTTTTTTGTACTAACTTGGGTTGGAGGAGGTTGAATAGAGGGGGCTGGGTCTTATTGTTTCACTAGTCACTATTGTAATAAAACTAGGTTGGGTTATGTACTAGTAAAGAAAATTTGCAGATTTGTCACATCCCCTATACTAATCAATGCACAGCTCCTCCCTCTCACTCACAAACACAATTTATCCTCTTGTCCTCCAAAACATAACGACTAGTTCAGATGACTTGAAAACATATTAGATTTAATACGTACGTTACTGTACCTTTACTGCGTATATATATTCATAAAATATCATCCCACAGGTAAACAACATGAAGCAAGCACCAGAAGCTATTTCCAACTACTTCAAGGGAAAGATGTCAACATAAATGCCCACTCACTTGTTAATGAGTAAGTTACTTTCCTTTTGGTCAAAAGCATGCATTAATTTTTATTTTAGAGCAACCTGTTGTACATATTGCTAGTAGTATGTATGACCTAGGTACAAAAAAACAGCCCAATTCTTACTTCAACTATTTATTTATTTCTATGTATAAGTTTTATTTCAGCTAAAGATAACATTTTTAATCAAAATAATGTGTGGTGTTCTACGCATGGTGCAAATGTCCAATCACCATTGTCATGTTAGCCCATTAAGCTCCAGTTTAAGTTTGTAAAAAAAGATAAGTAGGGCACATTGCCAGTTAGTGGGTTAACATCAAACAAAGATTTATACTGTATGCCTTATTTTAGGAATGAATATTTTTCAACGAACGAATGAACACTTTGCTATTTTAAGAGTTTTATCATTTATCATAATGTAATCTTTCACCCACTACTCATGGATTCGCCCTAAAATAATTTATGCATCAATTATTCTTAGAACATTGTGGATTATAATATTGGGAACAAAGTACAAAGTAGGAGCTGTTGTTCAGCATGGATTTCTGCATCTGCTACCAACATTTTCAGTTATAAAGAAAATTGTTGTTGTTGATGGTGAATTAAACAGCTGTTTTTTTATTCTTGAAAGACTACATACTATAGAGTTCAATGAACATTACCATGCATATAAGGTGGAGAAGCCTATTGATATAAGTTTAGGTATTTGCACACAAGAAGAACTTGTATCTTTTATGCCAATGCATTACACAAATCCTGTAAATTCCAATGGATCCTTTGTGAATATTAAATATGACGTTGATTTATATCAGCATGAGTAAGAATTATTAAAATGGATTTATGTACAATATATTTTTATGTGTGCATATCCTGTTCCAGCTGACATTTTCAAGAAACATAAAACTTATATACAGTGTAATATATATTTTATATGTAAATATATTTTTTTATATGTAAATATTTGTATATGATATTTGTGTCATAAATGAGTATTTTTTAATGTGTTGACTGGTTATTTGCTTCAAATACAAAGGATTTGTAATACATGTAACATGCCTAATGACTTCAATTTAATATATTAAACAAATTATTTGTTTTGTATATAAGTGGCTGTTATAAAAGCCAGAATGACTCTAAGAAAGAGTTCCACCACTCCAACAAAGAGTCATATGGCTCCAAGAACGAGTCACATGACTCCATGTGAACTCTATTTAAGAGTCTATTGACTCTTGCGAGAGTCTTGTGACCCTTCAAAAGAACTAAACGAATCCTCCGAATTGTCATTTTGACCCAATGTCGGAGTTAAAACGACTATTAGAGTCGAAACGACACATTAGAGGAGTAAAAATGACCTTTTGAATAAAGGTGTTGAAATGACTCGCCCTGGTCAAAACGACTCTTTTGAATTTACAGTGTAGGCCCGTTTGGGACTTATATGGCCTTATATGACCCTATTAGGCACGATGGCCCGATTGCTGACTGCATGGGCATCTTAACACCCGAATATGGACAAATATTCGATTGAACATTGGGGAATAAATGTTCCCTTAGAACATTCCTCTGCAACACTGCAAATCTATACGTCGTATACGTAAACATTTTTTTATTATATGTATACGAATACAACGCCCATAGGATATGTGACCTTCCACGGGAAAACGTACGTTAACGATATTTTGTTGAAACGGCAAAACGGACGGATAACGAACGGGTAGTGAACGATCTGTAATAACGTTTCAACGAACCCAGAAAACGTTTTGACGAATTCAGCTAAAAATGTGAACGTTTAAAGTCGAGAATACGAACGGATAAATAAACGTTCAATCTGAAGCCGTTTGAACGATTTATGTTTATTAACGGTTTTAACGAATTTGTCTGAACGCCTGTTGCGCGTATAATTGACGCAAGATATTATTGACTAATTTATCTAATTAAAAGAATAGGAAATATTTTCAAACAAGTAACATGTGTTGTTCCAAGTATGTGTGTACATAAATAGCTATACCTTCATTTGAATGTTTAACTAAAATTATTAGCTATACTACCTAAATCCCATTATTTTATACTTTATATACATATATACATTGGCGTTTTGCATCAAAATTCGGGTTATAATCGTTAGGAAGCCTTCAGTTATTAGTATATATTATCATCGTTATGTCAAATTAATGCATCATCTGCAACTATACCCATCAAAATATTCAGCGCGTGTTCATTTGCAACATCGTTACAGGTTTTGTAAATTTTTCCACGAACAAACTCTATGTATGAGTGGTTAAAGACATATAAACAAAGACATACAGGCGATACAGCATGCATCCGTTTTATTAACACGGCTGTAAACCGACAGTAAACAAAAATTGCCGTCTCAGTTTGGTTGAGTTTCAGCTACTGGATACATACTTTATGTTAAACTAAACACAAGAGATTCCATTGTACACTTTTGTTTATACTCTTTGACGCGCAAACGATTAAATTAATTAGCGCAAGGATCAAGTTGTTTACAGATGATAACCAAACATTAATACAGAATATCGCATACGCAAAGTTCGTTTGTATGCGAACCAGCGTAGTAACGTGTGCTTGCATGCTGTCAAAACTTATGTGGTATAAATACTACATTAAATATCCACACCATTTATACACATGAAATCCACATTTCAATTTCAGCAATGCATTGGGCGGTAATAAAATATTTAAAATATAGGCTTGGATATTTACCTAGTGCACACAATATGTTCCGTGCAGCAACACCAGTAGCCTAGCTTTAGCCGCGGTCAAGCTTGTCGCAGAATGTCGCCTATACACAGTACTGTCAGTAGCAAGTCACTAGCAATTAACACGGGACGAAAAGATAGATTTGCCTGTATGCAAATGTATGGGCAAATTTATTGCCAATTTCAAATTCGATCGTATATGACCACATTTGCACCATTGCAAATTTTTAAATTTGCCTCGTGTTTGCACCTAGTGCGATACAGTGATTGCCGCGATGACACCGGGTGCAAATTTAGTGCAAATTTATGGTAAATTTATAACATTGCACATATTGCGATTGCAGTGTGATTTTGTTGTGAACATAAAATTTGCGATTTGTATCACGCGTGTTGCCATTTTCGTGGAAAATGCAAAATGAAACTTGTTCAAATTATGCTGGTCGGTTTGATTTGTTTGCGTGTGCTTTCTATTTTTGTGTCGCGCAATTGAATTTTTTAAAGTGTAAACGAAGGTAAATAAAAAATGATTTTTTTATTATTTTTAAAAAATATATTGAAATCGTACATATATATAAGACAATAATATAAACACGTAGAGTCATAGATTCAATATAAACCTATAGATGTTCAAAAATATCCTGAATAGATCCTAATGCGTACAATAATATAGCTACATGCTATTTATAAACCGATATAATTTATATACATTTAGTTAAAAAATGTCTATACAACAGAATTCGAAGCCGGCAACCTATTTTTTTCGCATATCGTTCTTATATTGTATCTTCTAAAATCTTATAAAATTTTTCAAATTGATTGTTATTTTCCATACTCTCCAGTCATATATACTTCATATTTTTTTATAAAACATGAACATGGAATTTTTCATCATGTAGACCACAGTTAATAGAACATACATGGTTTAGAGACTACATATAATTAATATATACGGTATATAAATATATATATATATAAGTAGTTACAATAGAACTCATTAACTATATATATATATATATATATATATATATATATATATATATATATATATATATATATATATATATATATATATATATATATATATATATATATATATATATATATATATGTCGTCGGGAAACATTTATGCAAAATTGTTCCTTATTCGCCACGTGTCTATCGTATTTTGAACAAATAAACCAATAGTAAGGTCTGAATTAACATGTTGTTCAAGAGGATCTAAACCAAGCTATAATTACTATTTGTCAATTGGGCAAAAATACAATAGACATGCATGTGACGGATAAAGAACAATTTTCAGCATAAACCTGCAGGGCAATAACATAAATAATGAGTTTTATTGTACTTCCATCTATAGTATCCAAACCATGTATATTCTAGCTAATAACTGTATGTAGACTAAGGTGCAAGTTTGCCGGGTTGAGAAATCCTCAACAGTACTAGTACGGAAAATAGCTATGCAAATTTAAAAGATTGATGGCTATATTTGTTTTCCATACTGCTCAGTATGGCTCTACAGCATAGAAATACTGGACCATACGTCGTCAGCATATGTGACTTAATGAGTTGCACATTTTCTTACGTAAAGTGTACAAAATTTACGTAATTAAATTTGGTTTTTCCATACATCCAAAAAATAGGTAGCGCTGAACTCTTATAATATAGTTTAATCATGCAACAGACTAGTTGTTCACAAAAATGGAAACATTTTAACGGTAATTAAGTGTAGTTTAATAACCTGTTTTTAAATTTAACTTTCTTCCATCATCAATGGATGCCATATTTATCTAATTTTTAATCATCCAATCAGGGATGTCACTTGGTGGCAAACAAACCATTCTTTCGCCCTAATGTTTCTTTGAACATGGAGCGAGCCTTCTCGAAATTCGCCTGGTATATTTCCGGTCCAAGCTTTCCAACACGCTTTGGAATCTCTCGCTACGCCATGACAATGGGCGGGTTTTTAATATTTTCTTCGTACCTAAAGCGTCATCGTCGGATTCGGACTCGTCATCTCTTTCAATTACCTCTTCCTCGCTGTGCTCGGGAGACATACATGATATTTTCATCCCCTTTCTAAATTCTGCCTTTTCAGCCTCAGGCCAAGAGGTAGTTTTATATAGTGCATCCAGCCGGCGTCGAAGTTTCTATAAATATACGAGAAAACAGTGCATTAGCTGTGTAATCATTAGCTATGTTGATCTGAACTAGATTATTTTATGATAATTATGTCTCCCATAGATTTCTTGTTATTCTTATAGTTGTATTTAAGTTGAATAAGAAATGCGTATTATTCTTTTTGAGGCCCAAAAATGGCAAAGAGAGGGATTGATGTCCCAAAAATTAACAATGTTTGAATGTCCCAAAAAATTGCGAGAATTTCAGATGAAGTTATATGTGTCGAACGAGAGGTTGGAAACGTTTTGTAAATCAGGTTCGTAATTTCCGTGCATTAAACTAAAGTATACAAATTTGCAAACTTTGCAAAGCCACATTTTTGGCATCTCATGACATTTCGCAACCAAACGTTGCATTTCTACTAATTTCAGTACGCTCTTTTTGCTGTGGTGATTTTAATGGGTTATCTTGCATGTATAAAAAGTTGCCTATAATGCAAAAGGTCCATTTAATCTTTATGTTTGATGATTTAATCTTTGTATTTGGCTCGTGAGAGCAAAACGTGAAATCCGTCTCATGGTTTTGAACAACGGCATATGCTCTGCGAAAATTGGAAAGGCAAACGAGGTACGTTTTTACATTGATTTCTTACATCTGCCTTGCGATGGCGACGTCGTTCATTTTGCAAATATTACTTCTCTGCCCTGAATCGACCTCCTTGCGTCTCCTCCGCATTGTCAAGAAATGTGCCTTCATTGCTCCTAGAAAATGGTATCAGACTGCATGATTCAATCTTGAAAGTTCGTCCGAAAAAGGGCAACGTTCTCATGATAAGTGGGATTCATGCAATTGTCTCATCTAAGAGAAGATTGGTGAGGTACGTTTTTCGTTTATGGCACCAGAGTCAGAGGAATATAAACTCAACTATTCCGGCATATATATAATCAATCACCTAATCATATATTTATCATTTATAGACCAGGGGCCGGTTGTATCAAAGCCGGATAGCGCTATCCACCGAATAGTGATTTTTTCAACCGTTCTAAAAATGCTCGAAAGGGGATAAAATTTCAGCTTGAAAGCAACAATTATTAAAGAGGATCTTCAATTTAGGAATACTAAGATTTAATCAAAGTTGTAGCAAATAACGGGCGATTTTGAAGCAATTGAAAAAACCACTATCCGGTGGATAGCGCTATCCGGCTTTCATACAACCGGCCCCAGGGGCCGGTTGTTCGAAAGGTGGATAATTCGCTATCCAACGGATAACTCGCTATCCAACGGATAAGTTTTATCCAGCGTGTGATTTGCGTTGCACGAAGCTTGCATAACTTTATCCAGCGGATAAAAATCGCTATCTACCGGATAAATTTATCCAAGGTCCGGAGGTGGTTTAAATCCACTATCCAGTGGATAAATTAAAGATACAAGGTAACATTGTAAACATTTATATAAAATAGGACAAAAATGCAATATTCCTGTTACTGTGTTTCAACAAACTAATGCACATAATGATTGCATGTATTCACTATTAAAAATGGTTTCGCGAAGTGCAATTTTTCGCAGCAGCGTTTTACGTTGCCTAGACATTCCTTTCCGAGCGGCGATTTTTTGGACATCCTCGCATTTATAACAGGCAGTAAATTTACTATTGTTTAAGTCTTTCCATTCAGTAACTATACTCGAGAATTCGTAATGATTATGAATTCAATGTTGTAAATGCTTAGCAACAGCTGACGTTGTGGTACGAAATTTCAGTATAATCGAGTTTTCTTCCGGTAAATTTTAACTTATCTATTGGATAGCTATCCACTTCACTATCCACGCTTCGTGCAACGCGTTTTTATCCAATGGATAACTATCCACTGGATAGCAGATTTATCCGTTGGATAGGACTTATCCGTTGGATAAGTTATCCATCTTTAGAACAACCGGCCCCTGGAGCGAGGGGAATTCGATGAAATATTACCCCGAAGGGAAAATATATCCCGAGGGCTTCGCTTCCATATGAACGCAAATTCTCGATTTTTCCCGGTAAGCCGGTATTAAAACACGATCACACACGCTTGCCTGCAAAGGTAGGATAATAAGTGGGATAATAGGCGGTATGAATTGCATATGAAACGACCTTCAAACTCATCTCAGCAAGCCGAGCTCTCCTGGCTAACCGGGCTATCCCACCTCATATGAACAGGCCCTTAGTTCCTTTCGAAATTGATTATTTTTACGGTCTGCTAACATGAATGTATGAATATCAGCATCTCCACTTAACGATACTCCGCCGCAGCTTGTTTTATGCCGTGGGTCAAAATCAAACGTAAGCTATGGGAAGTTTTCAAAATTTCCTACTTCCGAACAACCCGTGTACCGGCGGTAGCAGTTTGGGTCTATGCTTGAAGCAAGAACAAATTGAAACGGAGGCTAGGTTTGATCGGATTCAATTTTTATTTTTCAAGGAACAAGCCCTTAAAATCGTTAGCTATCTCTAAGTTTTGATGTGAAAATTAATAATGATAGATTGATAGTCCTATCACGTGTTGTATCAATCAAAATAATTTGTGACTACACCCCCGGTTAAGCTTAACACGTGCGCCAGACTGATTCGTCATCTTCGTTGCCATGTTTTCGTGTTGAAAAATATTTAATGGCTTGAAAATTGACTCTTGTATTCTATATTTTATCCTATGAATTAATGGGCTTAACGTACTCCTTTTGTGTATGAATATTAATGTCAAAGTAAGTATGTATTAAAATGTATTCAAACCGCATGATTTTGTGTTTGCCTAAGTCGCAATATACATTCCGGGGATATTTTCATTAAATTTTTACAGCTAAAACCCAGAAACAAACGTAATTGAACTGTCTCTCCTGACGGGATAGAAAACTCTACAAACATTCGAATCACCTCAAATATATTTTCATGCATGGATGCTGAGACCTACTGTACACACGTTGTTTACCCTGTCAATACCTGTTTGCATTTTGTCATCCAGGGCTGAAAGTGAAAGTTACTTTTCAAATAAACTTCTTGTATAAACTGCAATATACCCCATCTTTACTAGCTATAATGCTCAATATGCACACCGGTTCCTATTTAGGCATGCATATATAAACAATTTATAGTAATGCAGTATGCCAGATGAGTATACAGGTTATTGAACAAGGCAATAGAGGGTACCATGCAGAATTACTTAGACAGAATTCAATCACTTCTAACTGCCTACCAGAGAATGGCGATAAAAAGTGCTATACCTAACCATTAATTGGCTTAGTAACACCTCATAATTTTGTTATTCTATTTCTGGTACTATACAATGATCCAGGCTCGGAACATTAAAAAATCATTTCTATGACAGGTAAAATTTGCCATTATATATATTTTGAATATTTTGAACAAAAAAACCCCTGATTCAACCCTGTAGTTTGTATGCTATTGAACCATCTAAGGGCTTGGTAGACTTTAGTGCTAATTAATGCCTAGCTGCAAACTATTGCAATTGCTGTTCTACATCTAGCAGATCTTTTTATGGATTTAAAAAGTTCCCTGAGTAACTTAATACGTTAGAGGATGCCATGTAAATGTCTCTTAACACTGGCCTCTTTGACAGAGGATGAGTCTGAATTGCAAAAAAATATATGGTGCTTACAATAATCACTTATTGGTGAAAAACACAGCCTATTGTTGTTGTAATCTATGCTTTTCCTTTACTGCAACTTACTTTCAATTATCTGATCTGACATCTTTTCCATGCCAGTCAATGCCTTGATATTTGTCACCAGGAGTTTGTTGGTGTCTTCATTAGCTGTTGCTCTAAACTACATTATAAATTTAAATACTAAAATGTTGCATGTATCTAGGCAATTATTAATTCTTTTTTAAATTCATTTTATGTACCATTTGCTATATGATGTACAAAACCTATTACATCACAAAATGTGGAATATATATACCCACCTCTGAGTTAAGTCCCATCCCTGTTCTAAGCCTTTTACTGCTGAACGGACAGTACGCTGAGAAATTAAATGTAATTGCATATAGGTTATTGGGTAGTTACTAAAGCTCTCTTCTTTAATCTATATAAATATTGATGTGCATAATAATTATGTCAATATTGTCTGAAATTGTTTTATTTTTAGGAAGTTTCACTTGAAATCCAAATGAAAATGATTATAAATCAATGAAATTGATGTAAGTATTCATCATCATGAAGATTATAATAGCATGCAATATAACAATAGAGTTGATGTTTGCTGGCATAAATGGTTTTTGGCCCGACTCTGAACTTATTTTAGCCCGAGCGTAGCGAGGGTTAAACAGTATTCTGAGGAGGGCCAAAAACACATTTATGCCCAAGAACATCAACTGTATCACTATTATATTAACTTTTTAAAGGGCGATTTTTGTATAGAAACACTACAATGGATAAACACTACAGTCGTTCTTCTGATTGGCTAAGATCAAGGTGGGCTAAAATAGATTTTAGCCTGGCAAATTTATCATTTTAGCCCGCAAAGTACACCGCAATGCCCACCAAAGTTAATATAATAAAATATTAGCTACTACACTTCTTTACTAAAACTGTCTTGTATTATTTATATATATCTGACCATACATAATATTAATATTGTCTAAAATCTTTCATTATTTTATAGGGAGTTTGGATTGGAATCCAAGTGACAAGTATTAATTAATCACTGAAATTACTGTAAGTTTTCATCATCATTGAAATTTACAAGCATGCAATATTCCAGTGGCATGTATGGAGTTCTACCCCTGTTTAATCACCAGAATATTCACATTTAAATTATCATGCTGTTGACAATTTCTACTGTCATCTCTGACCCTGGGCAATTAATTTTCACCCTTTTAAAGGGAAAATCATAGGAAATGGACTAGACAAACTATAAACAGAATAAAATGAAAATCTGAAAAGGGAAATTTGCTTTATATCACTATACCCAATACTCAAGGTCAGCAGCAAACCATATCCTGCATGACATGCTCATGTTTGATTTCATTGTTGCATTGATTAATGATTTGGTTATATGCACCATTATTATTATATGTTGATACTGTAGTCCTTCCTTCCAATCCCTCCTCTTCTTACAAATTCAAGTTATCATACTGTACTACATTGCATTGTTTGCTTTGGGACACCATTGTTGTATACATTTAAGCATTTGCAAAAACTGTATTCTGTTGAAAAGGCTTAGTGGATCGTAATACATACACAGTTTTTCTTCCCCATATAGAAATGATTGATTAAATTACTTTAATTCGAATGAGTAAGCATTTACCTTTAAAATAAGGGGGATTTTCTCTCGGGTAGCAAGCTGTGCCCCGCGCTCTTTAGCTATATTCTGCTCTTGTTGATGTAATATTTTTTGATTTTGTTCAATGATTGTCCGTTGACTTGCCAAAATACGTCGCATGAGTTCCTCATTCTGACCATTGATTGCCATTTTTTTAAAAAACTGGTAGCTTTCGTTAAAAAATTAAATGTTAAGTGTATAAAAACTGGCTTGTCAAAACAACTTGAAAATTTTTCCTTCGAGTTTCCCTCTCGAATTCTAGATTTAGCGCGAAATAAATATGAGGCTTCTAATTGGTTGGTTTAGGTCACCTGGACACTTATAGTGTCCCTGAATAGCATCTACTACCCCCGTTTAGCCCTTTGTGTTTCTTTTAAACTCTTGTTTTTATATCAACATCGCTTATAAAAATCTAAAAACAATCATGGCTGAATACAACAACTATATGACCTTGTGTCCACATTGCGAGACCTATTTACCTGCAAGAACTTTCAGGCGACATAGGGAAGTTTATTTTGACCAAAATTCAAACTCGTGGCAAAGAGATCCAATTTTAGAAGGCAGTAGTGATGATGAAGACAACTTTATTGAGATCGACCAGGTCACTCCATGTTTCCCTCTTCCATCAAATCATTGCGATAGCAATTATACTGAACCTGACTCGGCTGATGAATTGTTCCGCGAAGAACTGCTTGAGCGTGAGATCTGGGATGCGCTTTAAACGACAAAATATTTTTCTCGTCGGAATCATTCCCGGACCTAGTGAGCCCAAGAATAACATTAACTCATACCTTAAACCACTCGTTGATGAGCTTGTTGTTCTTTGGGAGGAAGGCGTGACCCTACGACATTCTGGCTCACTTATTTACCAGAACGCTTTCGAGCTGCTTTGTTGTGCGTAGCCTGTGATATGCCAGCCAGTAAGAAGGTTTGCGGGTTCACTGCTCCCAACTCTAAACGTGGTTGCAATAAGTGCACCAAAGAGTTCGTTACTGGTGGATTCGGTGATGCAACTGATTATTCCGGATTCAATTCGAGTAGTGGGAGAAATATTGTTGACCATAGGAGGCATGTTGAGGAGATTTTAGCGCAGTTGACGCAGGAATTGCGTAATGCGAAGGAGTCTCTATATGGCGCTAGATATTCCGAACTTCTCCGACTACCATACTTCGACTGCATTAGGTTTACTATTGTTGATCTGATGCATAATTTATTTCTGGGAACTGCGAAACGCATGATGGAATTGTGGTTGGAACTTTCTCTTTTGACACGTGCAGATTTGGAACTTATTCAACAGAAAGTAGACATATGTAATACACCTTCAAACATGGGTCGACTTCCGTTCAAAATAGCCAAGTCGTTTTCTGGATTTACGGCAGAACAGTGGAAAACCTGGGTAACTGTCTTCTCTCCGTTTGCATTGTTAGGTCATCTACCTGGTAAACATTACAAATGCTGGTTGAATTTTGTTAAAGCTTGTAAAATTCTGTCACGGCCAATGATTAAAATACATGACGTGGGTCTTGCGCATTCTCTGCTTGTAAAGTTCTGTCGTGATGTCGAAAAGTTATATGGAACACAACGCATTACACCGAATATGCATATGCATACACATTTGGCCGATTGTATTCTTGACTATGGACCAGTGTATAGTTTTTGGTTGTTCAGCTTTGAACGGTACAATGGCATACTAGGTAACTATTCGAACAATAATAAGTCAATTGAATTGCAAATTATGAGAAAGTTTTTGAGAGATCAGAACTTGAGAGAACTTGAATTCCCAAAAGAATGTGTGCAGCATTTTAGCGATTTGACTGATAAACTACAACAGCGCGAAGGCCATCAATCTTGTAGCGAAGTAGTTGATAGCAAGCTTGCAATTGATATTCTTCATTTGTGTGATGGTAGGCTTGACATTCGTGATGAGTTATGGTTTACTCTGGATGGTTACTCCTTGGTTTACCTCACGTTATTGAACAGTTAGATTGTGATGAGCACGAGTACCTGAGTGCTGTTTACAAAATATTTCTTCCTGACATACCAGTCGACAACATTCCTTACCTCTACGACAAATACGCGTCGATCGAATTTTCAGGGGAACGATACGGGTCAGAGTTTTCCCGTCTAAGTCGTTTTGCTTACATTTTAGCAAGGTGGGCAGGACGATTCCATGGAGGTGTGGATATGGAAGGTGTAGAGGAAAGACCGGGCATTATCGATTGTTTCGTACGCCAGTCGATTTCGTATCGGGATAAGGTACATTCGTTTTGTTTTGCGCACGTTCGCTGGTTTCAACGGCACCCTGAACGATTTCATTATGGTAATGATGGAGTTACGCCCGAGATTTGGTGCTCAAACTTGTTCGAGAGTTTTGGTCCGGCGTCCTTTATACCCGTTCAACGCATAGCGCGAAATTTAATACCCGGTTATGATAAAGTTGATGACGAAACCGTCTTGTTTGTTATGCCATTGGAAAGGCGAATTCTTCTGTGATTCAGATGGAATTTGGAGGCTAACTAGTTTAAGTCTGACTATAGCACATTCAAATCAATGCCCTTGATCATGGTTCTTCGTAGTGCTTTAAAGTTCGTAATACCGTGCTGACAGAACTGTGACGATTTAATACCCAGAAATGGGGGCAGATCAGGGTTAAAGTAACACATAATTAACGGCGTTAAGTGGTTTAATACATGAATGCATCCATGCATCACGCTATATAACCATATGCCCTAGATTATAACCGCTATTTGTATTATCGCGTTATTAATTCGTGTAAGCCCTAATGGATACTGAACAATATTAATTTATAGGTTCCTTGAAAGCTTGCATGTTGAAAACAGTATTTTATCGTACGTTTGTGGAAATACCGCGTGAAAAATTTAATTTTGCAATCCTCTGGGGCCGGTTGTATAACTGCATGTACTGTAGTTAACGACAGAATTGGCCAATCAGAGTCGTGTATTGCTCATTTAACTATGCAAAATGTACTTAAAGAGTTTTATACATCTGGAGCCGGTTGTATAAAGCTCTTAACTACATTTTGCATAGTTAAATCGTAGTTAACTCAGAAATACATGACTCTGATTGGTCAATTCTGTTACTAACTATGATTAAGAGTTTACTACATTTTTATACAACCGACCCCTGGTCCCTGATCTGCAAAATTATATTCACGCAATATTTCTCCAAACGCACGATAAAAAAATTGATTTACTAAATGTAGACTTAAATTTAGTTCTCACTGGAACAAAGATATTATCAATTAGGTAATTTAAGCACTCTGTTTATACTATATATGCTATCCGAATTTGCTTTCTTGGTATACAATACCACCTTATACTAGCAAGAGACCGTATTGCCCGCGTTGCTTCTAAGCAGTTGTTTTGTCAGCCACCGAAAACCGGGTTTTTGGTTAGGGGCTAGGACTTTTGTTACTTAATTATATTCTAAGTTTTAAAGTTTAATATATCCTGGTTCCGGTTTATGGTACATATTGGTTGAACGTTTTTCAGTGGTTAGGCCAGCCTGCCAACTTAGTCCTGCTATTCTCGTATTTTGATGTTTAAAGAAATCAGTAATGATAATAACAATATGTTCCCATTCGATTAATTTTTCAGTTTTTAAACGGATTCATTTAGAGATTTTCCCCTTTTCGAAAGGCTCTCACTTTTTGAAAGTGAATAAAATTCTAGTTGATGCTTTTCTAGAGAAGTCTCGAAACGCTACCCGTAAACTGGATCCAGGGTGTTTTGTCAACATTAGGTTTAAGACGTTGAATCCAAAGTTATTCAACGTTTTATTTAAAAATATAATCAAAGGCCTTGTATGTTTAGGTACATTTGTTCATATAGCGTTTTATTTAATGCATTTTAAACTATTTAAACGTGATTAACGTTGTATTACTTTTCCTGATCTTTGATTCTGACGCCCTTTAGAAATCATACAAATCATCAGCCTTGATACTGCCTCGATTAATTAAGGGTCGTGGTCAAACTTCAGATGAAGAAACGGGTAAGGAAAGTCCAATGGGTGGAGTAATTTTAACGTAGTTGAGTAAACTTTATTTTTCAGCTGTTTTGTTTTTAAACCAAAAAGCTTTGTAGTAGGGTATAGAGAGGCTGCTCTGTTTACTGCTAGGCGCCGAAAACCAGGCCTGCGTAACCCTATGTATAGGTTTCGGCTTTTACTGACGTTTTTGAACGACTGCACTGGTTCTGCTCGAAGATTTTAGTTAAAAATGATAAAAATCCTCGTTTGAAAGCAGCATGTACTTTATTACATAATTATAGTGCTAAGGAACGATTTTGGTATTTTTAAACTGATTGCGTTTGAAGGATATCGTCGATGCGAAGTTTTTTTGAATAGCTTATTCTTTCAAAGGAAATAACTCGGGTCTTTAAAAAGCATGGGTAAACAGGATGTAAGGAGCTCTAGGTTTACTTCCAATAGTCAGAAACAAAGGTGCGAGATCATAGCGGACGCTGTCACTTACAACCGCAACCTGTTTCCAGGATCTAGACCCGTAATAATATAACTGTTAACTGTTTACTTTCCGAGATCATATAGTCCAAAAACCTAATAAAATATATAAATCTAACAAAATTGCACAGTAAAACTTGCCAAAATCCCGAGAATTTCTAAACTTAGTTTGCATAAAGAATAGTTTTATTAATTTAGAACAAGTCATGAGGAAATAACATTAGATATTAAAATATTTTCCCCTTAATTGTGCCACGATTATGTGCCTCTGATCGATATGAAAATCTGCTTAATAGGTATGAAGGAGCCAGTCCTTTTAAGCATCGTGAAAGTCATCACTGCATCTTTGAAACGTAACTGACGGGAAGCCAATTTACTTGACGTAACACTGGTGTTAAATGGTCATATTTGCCTTTCGCAGTCACTATTCTTGCAGGAAAGTTGTGTACACGTTGCAGTTTGGCGACATTCTTGTTTCGTGTATTCGCCTAAACAGAAGAAGAGTAATGTACGTAATCTGCTGGATACTAAAGCGTTAGTTTATTATTGTCACAAGGGTATGGTCATCTAGGATATGTTTAATTCGGTTAATTTGACACAGAGATTTCATACATTTCGATACTAAACACCCATCCAATTCCATCCCAAATCGTTTGCAGCGGACAGTGGTTGTAGTTGTTTATCAAGAAAGGACACACTGAAATCTTGTATTCCCTTCAACATTTGTGGTAATCCAAAGCTTTTTTTTTCTGGATTAATAAGCAGACTATTGGAAAAACATGCACCACGTTGCATGCACCACACTGCAATTTTCTGCAAATCATTCCTAAGTTGAGCCTGTGGTAGACTTATTTATAATAAAGAACGACAAGTAGACTTTTGAATAGTCCGCAGAAGATTCCAAAGGGCACGTGCACTTGTCATGAACAGTCGGTAAATGATTTATACAGATGTTAAATAACAATAATGGACTAAGCATGGAGGCCTGAGACACACCATATTCAACCGAGCAAGTATATATCTGACAAATTTTGACCAATTTGACCGACTGTTTCCTTTTAGACAAATAACTCTTAAACCAAGCTATTGTGCGGTAGAAGCACCCATTGAGCGAAGTTTGTTAAGAAGTTCAGATGATTAACGCTTTCAAACGCTTTTGATAAATCTTATCAAGCGACTGTAGTCCATTCCTTTCCATCCATATAGCATCCAAGATCGCATCTGTCAAAAATAGATTTCTGTCGAATGACTCCTTGTCTTACTGCTTTGATGAACGGTAATATAAGGCGTTTTTTCCCTAGTTAAATACTCAGGAAATTGATTTTGCGCGACCACATGGAGCATTTAGCGAAGCTGCTGGGAGCGTGACAGAGGCCGGTTATCATTTAGTATATATTTCAAAGTCTCCTTCTTTTAAAAGTGGTGTGACTTTAACAAGAACAATTAGCGATCTATATCTCTTTTAATGTTGGTAATATAACAGGTAAAGCATCTTTAATCACTCTAAACGATACCTTGTCTATGCTAGGTGCTTTATTTGGTGAAAACGAGTTCACACATCTCATACGTTGATACCGGATAAAAGCGGAATTCGTCCATGTCCTTAGCTAGCCGGTTGTAAACTTTTCGTTCGCCGCACCTTGCGTCCCGCATTTTTACCGCTGATATTTCACGAGGCGAAGCCGATCCCCGCGGCTCACCCCCGGTTTGTGACACATATCGAAAAATTAAATAATTCGATAGATTGAGTTTTTTCAACTTTAATTTATATAACTCGGACACGGACAGGTAGTTACCTTTTTAATGTTCGTTCCTTGTTTTTATGTAGAATTTATTTTTAGCTAAGTTATTGATTGTATTTTAAATTGAGGGCCTACATGAAAAGCACCTATGGGTGATTGTGGCACCCTCATAAAATATTTTGATAATAATAAAAAATAATAAATAACAGGAACTTCGTGTAATGTCAAGCTAAGCATATATAGTCTGCCGCCTCGCTTCGGCTCGAAAAATAATGTTACTTTAAAACGTCAAAAATCTGTTTCTTTATGACATACCTAATGACTTTAAAGTGGTATTCTGATTCATTCCGAGCAGTTAAGCTTTTTTATATAACGAAAAGTAAATTTTTCGGTTTCTAATGTGATATTTCGCAAACTCTGATCTTTTATCAATATTTCGCGCTCTTTATATAAATCTATATCGCTATATAAATTTATATCGCGACTGTATCGATATGTATCGATAATACCAGTATTTAATATGCTCAAACTTATCAAGTAAAGTAGATTGTCTTCCTTCAATGATGTCATCAGGGGGTTCCTTTTATCCCTATCGCCCGGTGACACTCATAACGCTAATCCGCCCCCGCACACTTGCGCTCTAATACTCACGCCACCGATACCCAGAGGTTTACAATCTAATTTAAATTAATCGACAACTATAAAAAAGGTTTTAACGCACTAGAAAAACGCTAAAAATGAAGCCGCGTATAGGTTTCAACCAAATTAATATAAGGTCTTCGTTTAGATGGTTAATAAGTATAGATATAGTTTATAATAGTAATTGTGATTTGAAAATTGAAATTTAATTTAGGAATCGTTCGAAAATTTAATTCAACAAAATTGCAATAGATTTGCTCTATACAGCAAATTTGACACGGATTTGGTATTATATTTGCTACAGTAATATTTATATGCAAATTTGTGTGCCAATTTGTTGCCAATTTGTTGGAAATATATATGCTAGTAACACATGAAATTTTTATTTTAAGCCCTGTTTACAATTTCTTTGAGGTTTTCCATACTTATTTTTGTACGCTAAAGCATAAAAACCGATTTTAACGAACTTACGAATTTACTAGAGAGCCTGATGAATTTGCTCAAAATTGGCACCTATACGCAAATGTCTTGCAAATTTTGGGATAAATTTGCCACGCTGGCAAATTTGTGGCAAACGTGTTGCAAATTTATTCGGTTGCAAAGATGAATACGCAATGGTTGCAAATTCAAAATACGAAATTTGCACCAAATTTGCATCTGGTGCAAATTTTGTGCAAATCTAAATTTTCGTCCCGTGTAAGGGCATCATTACCTTAAGAATATTTTAAATATTGACAATAATCATTTTGTCGATTGCATGCACCATCGCTATATTTTCTTCGCAAAGCTAAAGCTGCAATGTCGCTATTTCTGCCGCCATATTTTTTTCATATTAGTTACATATTTTGTGACCATACGATCACATATGCATGTGTTATGATTTTTAACCAGTATAACAAGTCGCTAATTAATACTTGTGATCTAACTAAATTATTGGTGGTCACTATATTCATTCCCCCCATATATTCGACCATCTACATAGTTAACTGTGTAAAAATGCCTAAGCTAACTGCATGAGCCTAACAATAGTGACCTAAAGACATAGAACGCATAAATTAGTGGGATAATTTTCGAAATCTTCATTTCAAACGACCGCGGCAATCCGCAATCCTAAAGGTCCGAAAATCCGTCCTGCAAAGCAACTTAATACTCAACCCCGGCAGCAAGACAAAAGTGCACATTATTTTTACTAAAGCATATAGCAATAGCACACGGCCCATATAGAAACCGAGTTTTTAAATCACAAAGAGTGCAAATAATTTTTTTCTGCAAAGCTTATAGCAATGCTGCCGCCCATATAGAAACGACAATGCCAAATGCATGCACAGGGGAGTTTATACTCACCATTTTAAGAAACACCCGATCCTTAACATCTTCGAGACATCTACTTGTGACACAATTTGTGCCTCCTGCTTACAATAAAATTAACTAATCAAGATTTCCCCAGACAGATGATTAAGGCATGCATCAAAGCATCAATCCATTTTGTCTTGCGAAAACTTTTTATATCATATAATTATATATATATTTCAAGGTAGCATCTACCCACATATTTTTTGACAAATGTCAGAAAAGTTTGCAAACAATTGTTGTTTCAATGTGAGTAAATGCATCCTATTAAATTGTAACCACCAAGCTAACAACTACTCTAACCTCAGCCAAGCCATTTTAAAGGTCTGGCAACCTTTCATGTCATGTTTATTCGGAATGATTGGATGATCGTGGCCCAACTCGATTCCACCGGCCATGGCAAGTAATCTAAAGGATTATATTGCAGTGCGCATTTATATCCGACTCCATTTTACTCGCGTTAGCATATATACAAAAATGCAATTGAGAACGTCTTGTTATATACAATTGCATGATCATCTATATGAAATCTTACTTCGAATGCGTGTCATATTTCGATATATGCATGGATCAATAGAGAGCTACAGTTTAGCCAGGCAAACACACTCAAGGAAAAAAAACTTTAAATCGAGCCAACCGTAATACGAATTCTGTTGATGATTTCATCGATAAGCCTGATTTCAATGCTGGGAGGGAAATAATTGCAAGCGCGCCTAATAAAGTATGCCCAGTCATGACTTGCCTTATATAATAGCTAATGTTTCGTATAGTCTCATACCTTTATACTTTATATGCAGGGGTAAAACGC